TGGCGCGGCTGGAGGGCCGCGAGTTCGAGTACCTGATGAAGAAGCGCTCGGTGACCATCGGGCGCAACTCGTCGCAGGGCTCGGTGGACGTGAGCATGGGCCACTCGAGCTTCATCTCGCGGCGCCACCTGGAGATCTTCACGCCCCCGGGCGGCGGCCATGGTCACGGCGGGGCCCCGGAGACGCCCGCGCAGCCCAGGCCCGATGCCGGCGGCGACTTCTACCTGCGCTGCCTGGGCAAGAACGGCGTGTTCGTGGACGGCGTGTTCCAGAGGCGCGGGGCACCGCCGCTGCAGCTGCCGCGCGTGTGAGTGGCGCCGCGGGCGGGACCCCCACCTACGACCTCCCCCGCTTGAACCCGGATCCCCACCCCTTGCCCCAGACCCCCTGCTGGGACTCGGGGTCCGAGGCAGCTGCCCCACCCCCACCCGCACGACCCCCACCCCCGCTCTCTGATCCCGTCCTTTTCGCGCTGGACAAATCCTGACCTGTGACCCCACTCCCCAGACTGCAACCTGCAGTCCGGGGCCGCTGCTGGGACTCCGAACCCGATGGTTAGCTGTCCCCTCGGGACTCCGGGCCCCCAGCCTAGCCTCCCACCCCAAACATGGCCTCATCCACCCGACCCACCCCGAAGACCCAGACTGCAACACTGACCCACAACCCCAGTCGGCACCCCAACTTAGGATCCCAAACCACGGCCTTTTTCGCCGGGCTAGGCTTCTGGGTCTCCTTGACCCCGCCGACCCCTGATTCCGTCGGGAGCAGCAGGTGTCGATTCCAGAGTCTTCCCCATCGTCAGTTCGGGGCTGGGCAGCTACATAGGACCCAGGTGTCCGAGCTGTAATGTGCGTTCTGAGCGTTGGTACTGCAAGAATGTTTCTCATATCCGGCTGCAGGTCTCACCCAGTAACAAGTGCTGCTGGTGGATAGTTGGAAGAAGGTTCCAAACCTAAAGTCTTTTATTCTTTCTTTCTCACATCGTTTTGCAGGTTTTTCACAACTGCAAGGACATCATCTTCTTAACCTTGTAGTATTTTGGGTAGCCCAAAAATTGAAAACTTCAAATGTGATGGATTTTAATCCTTGCGTGGAACTTCAGTTTTGGAAAATTGGATACTTTTAGCATGACTTTTTTAAAAAAGGACTATTGATTTAGTTTGTTGTTGTTGTTAGCTGCCATCGAGTCGGTACTGACCCATAGCGACCTTATGCACAACAGAACGAAACACTGCCCGGTTCTGGGCCAACCTCACTACTGTTGCCACGCTTGAGCCCATCCATGCTGCCACTTGGCTCGTCCATCTCGTTGGGGGTCTTCCTTGATTTATTTAGGAATTGTTTGAAAGTTAATACTTAAAGAGTGTTAGGTCCTTTCTGCTACAAAACAATTCCATTTGAGTCTATGGTTTTTTTCAAGTTATAATTTTCTCAGAAACCAGAAACTTGCTCTCTAGGAAATACTGCTTAGTCCTGAGGGGCTCACTTCTGGGTCATTTCGAATCCAACCTTTTTTTTGTCCACAAACTGGAGTTTTTAACTGTTGATGTTGTTGAAGATGCTGATAAAAGCTACTGATATTCTTAATTCTTCTCTTTTGTTATTTGGAGTGGGGGTGTGTTATTGCTTAGCATGAAGAGGTCTTTAACCCTTGATGGTAAGCAATTGGTTAAGCGCTCTGCCGCACCTCAGTAAAGGTGAGAGCCTGGAAAGCACAGAGGGCACTTCTCCTCTTGCTGAAGGGTCAGTAAGTATGGGGATGGCTCCTATTTTTTGACGTTAACTTTTTACAAACACCTTGTACCAATCCTTTAAGGAGCCCTAGCAGAACAGCGGGTTGCTCATGGGGAACCCCGCAGCCACTGCCCAGGAGAAGGATGAGGCTGTTCTGTAGGGGTGCGGGGAGTTGGAATCGACTCAACAGCATTGGGTTTGGTTTTGGTTTTGGGATCAATTTTTCCCCTTTATTCTTTAATTGTGGTGAAGTATACAACAAATACATTATAACTAAATGCCACTTTAGCCATTTTGGATTTTGAATTGTTTTCAAGAAAATGCTCTTGTGACCAGCCGCAGAAACCATTTATATTGTGTGGACCTCTGCTAGGCCTGACGGGGAGCAGGGTCCAGATCTGCTGGCAGGGAGAGTAAGCCTCATAGTAGAAGGGGGAAGAGTGCTGGTCATGGGTTCAAGACAGAGCTGCCTACCCTTCCTGCATGTCTGTGCCCCCGGGGGAAGAGGCCCCACAGCTGGGGTGGACACAGGAGGCTCACTTGCACGTGCCTGACACCCACCTAGACTGGTGCTTTCAGGTTTGCACATCCTTGCTAGAAAGGCATCCTTATCAAGGTTTGGGTGTAAGGTGGTACAGGGTGAATTCTGGGGAAGGAGAATTGGTAGATGTAGATGAATTGCTTTCAAATCTTGATTTAAGATCAATGCACAGCTTGATAGGAGTCCTCGTGTGGCGCTATAGGATAAACACTCGACTGCAGTGTCGGTTTGAACCACCAGGCCGGTGGTTCAAATCCACCAGCCTCTCCTCAGAAGCCCTATCCAGGGTCGCTATGAGTTGGAGTCGACTCAACAGCTCTTAACAATGAGAAGCTCAGCCTTGATGTTACCAGTTAGAAATCAGCTTGCATAAGCTCAAAAGTACGTGTAATTTAGAGCAATTATGCAGAGGCTGAAATCTTAATGCTGCTTCAAATTTGTCTTCTGAACTGAAGCATTAAAGAGTTAGTTCAAAGATATGAAAACACCTGGTTTGTCTCTTATTTGAACCACATGGTTTTATTCAGATTCCAAGCTTAAAATGAGTTTACGTTTCACAACATGTTAGAGAATGGGGCAGAGTATGGCTCATGGTGCCGCTAAAATACTACACGTATGTTGATACGGGTGAGGGAGAAACATGGAGCCTGTACAATGCCTGAAAGTTTGGGTGTCCGCAAATGCTGTTGTTGGCCAGGTGCACTGGGCTGTGTGTTCAGAAAGAGCATCCCACTCGCTGGAGGTCCCGCTGTGGCCCGGGACTGGGGCTGCCTCTGAGAAAAGTTGGGATTTGGGCTTTGCTGCGGGGAAGGTCTGCCGGGGAACTGAGGGGATAGTGAATGTTTAGGGTTGTTATCACCGTAGCGAGTTTATAAACCAAAATGAGCAGTTCTTTAACACTTAAGTTTATACTTTGAAATCGTTGGCCAAATCTGATACATTTTGATCCGTAAAATATCCTAGATTACCTAAGAATTAAAAGTAAATAGAACAAGAGAAGTTAACTGTTGCCCCAAACTATTTAATGTGCAGAACTGAAATTGTGTGTATTTAGAGTAGCGACCACATGTTCTTACACTAAATGAAGTACCTGTCGTTTCTGTCTGGCCATGAAGCAGCAGGTTTCTCATGTGACATGTTTTAACTTGCAGTTTAAGTTTTGACGATGTCACTAAATTCAGGACATCACGTGGGGACTAGAGAAGGGGCGAACAGACAGCCAGACAGCGACGTGGGAGTGTCCCAGATGAAAATGTTGGGTTACGGATGAGAGGAACCTGGGGTATCTGGGTCAGGATAGGATTGGAGTTCCCATAGGTTACCGGTACTAGACAGGGGACATTAGAAGGGGTGCCAGGAGGGCTTTTGGCCTCGGGGATAGGACTCCAGGGCCCTGTGGTCATGGTCGTTGGGGAGTTGGGGCGGCCCTGAGGAGAGGGCTTAAAGGACAGGCTGTGCGGTGTGGAGGCTGTGAGCGGTTGGGGATACTAGTAGGGTGTGGAAGGGTTCCCAACCAAGCTGTCCAAGCAGAGCCTACCTAGCAAGACTGCTGGCTTTCCTCGTTGGCTGCTTCAACGCCCTCATTTTATGGCTCGATCACAAGCAGAGGCTAGAGTAGACGTCAGACGTCCACCTTGAAAATGCTTCGGTTGTGTGCGCCCAGGTGTGCACATTTAGTGACAGACAGGTTTTTGACAAAACTTATTTAAAAACTACAGTCCACACTCAGTGTTACGGAGCCTGGTGTGGCGCTGTGGGCTGGACTGCAAAGTCTATTTGAACTGCAAGGTCAACAGTTTAAGCTCACCATCTGCTCCTCAGAAACTGGGTTGCTATGGGTCAGAACCAACTTAATGGCACCTAACAACAAGCATTCACTATTGGTTAATTGAGATATTTTTGGTTTTTCCACTGTGTACATCGGTACATAGTGCAGCAATTTTAGCGTAATAGTTACATTGTTGTTAAGTGCCGTGGAGTCGGTTCCGACCCATAATGACCCTGTATAGGGTTTCCGAGGCTGTAAATCTTTACAGGAGCAGAAGGCCTCATATCGTTCTCCCATGGAGCAGCTGGGAGTTTCAAACTGCTGACCTTACAGGTTCGCGGCCCGAGCTCCTTAATAGTTACATTATTACATTAAAAATAACCAAGCTGTTCCTACTTTCCCTCTGTGGTTAGTACTTAACCTGCAGTTGCAAAACTTCATTTTCATCTTGTTTACTTAATGAATCGTTCAGGACATTGCAGACCTACAGTGATTGGAGTTGCTGGCACATTTTGATAACAAGCTTACCTGGTAAGAGCCCTTGCTCGCTGGGGTCATTTGTGTGTAGCTGGTGGCCCTGACCCACTCACTTCTGGAGTGTCTTAGGTGCCTCGGGGTCCACCTTCTACTGAGGATAGAATCCCACAGCGCTTTTAGGCGAGGATTGGCTGTGGATGCCATTTGTCATTTGTGGTGAAATGCCTGTGTCTCACCCACTGAAAGGTATAGGAGCCACTTGTGGTTCTCACCTGGGACAAATCTGTCCCCATGTGCCTCTTGGGGGACATGTTTGTCCAAACTGGAAGTGGCACCGAGGCTTGGCTGGGAGGAGACGCATGTAGGATCCCAGCAGCTGACTGAAGTTGGATTTTGCTCTGTGCCTTAGGAGTAGTGGCAAGCTTCCATTGCTGCTACAAATAGCCCCTGGATAAACCCTTTAGCTACCAAAGTGGTTAAAATTCACTGTTGGGGTGAGGTGCCACCATGGCCATTTCAACTCATACAGGGTTTCCAAGGAACACCAACTTTGTGGTTCACAGGCAAGTCTTTATCTGGAAGGTGGTTTTCTGAACACAGTCTAGGACAGGAGAGCCCTGTTATGGGGACACTTGGTAACGCCACATAAGTTGACTAGATCTGGAATCTGATCCCAGTTGAAGATTTGTCATTTCAGAACTTCCCACCCCAGCATGCCATTGTCACTTGGGAAGGTCACGCTGAGTCTGACTCATGGTGTGTGCAGTGTGGAACTGCTCCTTGGCGT